AAATCGAAGAGTGTTTAAGAGTAGAAACAGTAAAACCCCTCTCAAAGAATGGCTTTTGGCTCAATATCTCACAAAGGTAGTGTCCACCAATATTCCATAGTCATTCGAGCATAGCAACCTTTTCCACCAAAATATTACGAATATGGTATTGTGAAGTGCAAAGATTATAATGCAATAACCCTTCATGGCAACACGTTAGTAAAGCATTCATGATCAAAACATGACATATACATCTCTATTAGCAAGGAAAAGTGATAACTTTAACTAGAATTTATATTTCACAAAAACTGCTTCTTTTCAATTTCGACCTTAGATCAGTTTTCAACAATTATCCCTTAAAGTATTGCACAGATTTTGACAAGCCTTATATGCTCAGAAAATAGACAAACAAACGCACAACTTATCTTTAGACAAAATACCAGAAAATAGACTAGAACGGCATGAAAACTGACGTTGAAAACAGAAAACAGTACTGAATCACAGAAAAATTCCAGTTCCAGACCCCTGCAAATAGCTATAACTTCCAAACGAAAAGTCGGAAAATTACGGGCCTTATATGGCTGGATTCAGCACAAAAACCTGAAGAAGGCAACGCGGGCCAAATCTTCAAATCCATTACAGATGAAAACAGTATTATCGAAACATAAACACCAATGTTTTGCATGACTCGAAAAAGACTAAAAACGAAAAAAATTAAAATAAAACGAATGTTACCCACCTCAAACCTAAACCAAACATTGTCCTCAATGTTTAAAATGAAAATAAAATTAAGGACAGAGTCAATAGCCCGAATTTTGGATGCATTTACTTGGGATCATCGAGGAGGACGGTGGTCTCCTCATCAAGGAATGCAGTGGCCACATATGGTTTGAGTCGATGGCCATTAACTTTGAACGTTGTACCATCACGATCATTCTTGATTTCAACTGTCCCATAAGGATACACGGTTAACACCGTGAATGGCCCAGACCAACGAGAGCGAAGTTTACCAGGAAAAAGTTTCAACCATGAGTTGTAGAGGAGAACGCTTTGACCCACATAAAATTCCTTCTTCAAGATGTGCTTGTCATGCCACTTCTTTGTACGGTCTTTGTAAATTTTCGCATGCTCGTACGATTCATTCTGAAGTTCCTCTAACTCATTCAATTGTAACTTCCTTTTCTCACCCGCCGAACTCATGTCAAAATTGAGCGTTTTAATAGCCC